GTCCTAGTAGCAGGAAGTTCTTGCTGCACAGGAAACTAGTACACATTTTGAATTTATTTCATTTGTCCCCCATGTTTCTCCCAAATGGGGACCCAAAGCCTCTTACATCATTCTCCTCTCCTCCATGTTGCCCTCACCGTGTGAGGGAGGGTAGGCAGAGAGTGTATAGCTGCCCCAAAGTCACCCAGCAAGTTTCCACAGCAGAGTGGGGAGTCAAACCTGGATCTCCAAACTCCTAGTCCGATAATCTAACCACTGCACCATAGGCTTCAAGTGTGTAAAGGGTAAAGTGCCTTCTTCTTTTAATACTAGGCCTCAGAAAAGCATCCATCAAATGATAATCAGAGCAGCTAATTACCTAATAATTGTAATACACTTTCTGTCTTGCTGCTAATGTATTTAGATTTGGTAATCAAATCAACGATCTCAGCTTACCATGCTGCTTTCCAGTAAACTTTTCAAGAAGAGTTTTTTTTAAAAAAAAGCTTTGTTCTCATTTTTAATTATGATGTTGGAGAGATACCACAGGCTTTTCCTGTTTGTTTCACAGAATGAGAGAAGATGTAGGAAATGTCCTCTGGCTCTCTAATGTATTAATTTAAGAAGAAGTAAAGCATACAACTGCACAAATTCTTAACAGTATGAGTGGGAAGAATTTTTAATCATCTCTTATAAACCTAGGACTCTGGGCTACCCCGTGAAATTGATTGACATTTGGTTCAGGTCAGGACAGGCAAAAGAAAGTACTTGTCCTCCTAATGCTTAATCAACTTATAGACTTAACTGGCACAAGATATGGTTGTGGCCATTACCGTAAATGGCTTTTAAAGGATTAGTAAAAATTAATAGAAGACAGCTGTGATGTTTGAATGGAACTTCCATACTCAGAAGTATCTTTCTGAAGACAACAGGATCAGGGACTTCACAGCCAGCTTGCCAGTTTATCAAATGCTGGTTGCTATTAAAAACACTGCTGGGATTCTTGTTGAGATGGACTTTTGATTGGAAATAACAATGCCCTTCTCATGTTCATATGTTCTAGTATTGCAGACTACGTACTGTTACTACAGCTATACGGGGCTCTTTTTGTAGAAAAAGCCCAGCAGGCACTCATTAGCATAATAGGCCACACCCAACAGCAGAAACTCATTAGCATATTAGGTCACACCCCTGACAGCACAGCTCATTAGCACATTAGGCCGCACCCCCATGTTACCAGAAGTGTGGTCGTCTAGCCACACCCACCTTTTGCTTGTTATTCTGTTTACCTTGTTTGTTGTCAAAATCCAGGGCTTTTTTGTAGCAGGAACTCCTTTGCATGTTAGGCTACACACCCCTAATGTAGCCAATCCAAATGAGTTTCTGCTGTTGGGTGTGGCCTATTATGCTAATGAGTTCCTGCTGGGCGTGGCCAACTTGGGAACCAGCCGGAACTCCGTTCCTGTGCGTTCCTGCCCAAAAATAGCCCTGCAGCTATACATTTCAAATTATCACATGGTACGGTTCTTCCTGGATAGAACCACTCCAGACCACAGATTATGTGTCCGTGTCAAACATTTCTTGAGCATATATGATTGGCCCATGGTGGAAAATATGAGGCTATAACTTTTCTCCCTGATATGCTACCTTTTCATGGGGAGGAAACTTTTCATATTGAGGGGCATAAACATAAAAGCCCTAATTAACATCTGGAATATCCTGTGTAGTTATCTGTCTCAGTGTAAAGCTATGGGACACAGCATCATTGATACGTAGGGTTGCCAGCTCTGGGTTGGGAAATACCTGGAGATTTTAAGGGAGGAGCCTGAGGAGGGCAGGGTTTGGGGTGGGAGGGGAGAAGAACATAAGTACATAAGAGAGAGAAGCCAATGTTGGATCAGGCCAATGGCCCATCCAGCCCAACACTCTGTCACACAGTGGCCAAAAATACAGGCTATATATAGCAGGCTATAATGCCATAGATTCCACCCTCCAAAGCAGACATTTTCTCCAGGGGAACTGATCTTGGTCATCTGGAGATCAGTTGTAATAGTGGGAGATCTCCAGGTGCAAACTAGAGGCTGGCGACCTGACAGGAATGAGTAGGCATTACACCAGTGTATCTTGGGGTTATACTGGTGTATCCTTGTGTTACGCCAAAGTAGTACCCCAGAGCAATGCCATAGTGGTTGGCCACCACATATAGGCAGTCATACCTGCCACACCAGCTTGGAAAGGGCAGAAGTTAGTTGCCTCCTTAAGCCTCTCCAGCCCAAGAACACACCTCACAACTGACACACAGTTATACAAGCAGAATCACACATCGTAGCCCACAGGCACCCATTCAACATGACACGTGAAATGCCCTCCTGGAGGCTCAGACTTTGTCCCCATCAGTAAACACCCCTCCCAATTATATGATAGACAGAAGATCACTGTTCAGGAACAATCATATTTATATACTTCTCTCCAAAGTGGCTTACAACAGGAAAAAAACTATACAATACACCAACAAATGAACACACAAAACTAAAATATACTATTTCCATGAGGGAAAGATCCACTAATGCAGGATGAGATCTCTCAATATCTTCAGATGTGTCTTCCCTGAAATAAATTGCTTCCTCCCCGTAGCCATTAACTCTGGTAGGGGAAAAAAAGACAGGCGTGCACCCAGCCATATGTAAAAAAGTATACAATGGAGTTGGGAGTCGAACGTTAAAAGAACCTAAACAAAGGGGGGAGGCATCTACAGCTTACTCTTGTTCTTGATGTATTTTTCTTTCAGTCTCTGGTAACTGGAAATCAGCCAGGCAAGAAGATAAATGCTGTTTCAAACAAGTTCAGCAAAGTAAGGTCAGCGGGTAGCTTTTAATTTTCCTTGGCCACACATTCCATTTTTGCTGGAAAAGGTATTTCCCCATTCACTAGAGGATCTTGGGAAAGGAGGAAAAGCCAGCTTGTGAGCCAATGTTATAGAGCCTCCCTAGCAGAGCTGCCAGGCACTGCCTGACAACTGATGGGAGATTTGTGGGAGGCAGCATCGCAAGAGAAAAATTAAAAAGTTTAATAAGGCCTTGGATACTTACTGAAAGCTCTGACCATAGAGTTCTTGACAACTCCTAGAGCTACGTGGAAGTGACAAGGGTAGCTCTAGCAATTGCTACAGACTCTATGGTAAGATTACCATATTGTTTCCGATGCTTGCTAGAGCGACCTTTGTCACTTCCAGGTAGCTCCAGGAATTGTCAGGAACTCTATGGCCAGAACTTCCTATAAGTATCCAAGGCCTTATTTCTTTTTAATGTTTCCAGTTTAAACAAATAATTTCTCAGGATCCAATAAAAACTATAGCAGAAGCACAAAACAATCTCAGCCCTACCATCTTTTCAGGAATAGCCATCAGCACTTTACTTCCCTGGACTGAATGATTTTGTATGCCAACCAATAGCAAACATCCCCTTTTGGTCAAGGTGCTTAAGCAGGTGATAGCCAAGCTATTCCACATTTTCTTGGGTGAGGTGGACCAACTGGATCCATTTTAACTGCTTTGGTCACCCTCATAGATGATGTTCACGTGGAGAGAGAAATGGTGACTGCAACCCTGTTGGTTTCCCTGGACTTCTTGGTCAGTTTTGATACCCTCATCTGTGGTATCCTTCTGGACCAGCTAGCTGAGATGGTACCAATTTTGGTGGTTGTGGTACTATCTAGATGATCAGCACCAGAAAGTCTTTCTCAGGGGCTGCTGCTGGTCTCCATGGCATCTGTGTGGTGGAATCCCACAATGCACAATGTAACACCCACATAAAACCACCAGAACAGGTCATCAAGAGGTCTGGAGTAAAGTATCATCAATATGCAGATGACATCCAGCTCTGTTCTTCATCAGGAGAGTCAAACAAATCCATTAATATTGTGGTGGGGTCAGGGGACAGCAGCATGTTGTAGCCCTGCTCCACGCTCCCAGAGAAGCTCTCTGAGATAGCGAAACTTCAGACACCAATGGTTTATGATAGTTCAGACAGTCCATAACATTATGGGCACCCTGCCCTCTAAGAGGCCAAGCCTCAACTTATGCATAGTGGAGAGTTTCCTTGCCCAGGCCTGTGTGAGCCCTCATCTTGGGGTCTTGCTTTTGAGTTCTCCTCTGAACCTCTCAGCTCCTCCTCTTCCTCCTCCTCCTCCTCCTAGAGACTCACTCTCTTCTCTTTCTCTGTTTCCCTTTGCTCTGCCACCTCTTTTTTTATTGGTACATTTTATACACTGTTAGCTGCCCCAAGTCCTATTTGGGGAGAGGGAGCAGGACATAAATTTGATAAATAAATAACCTGCCCTGCCCCTGGCCCTTGCTTCTCTATCCTATTGTTCTTCTGCGATTCCTTCCATGTGTGAGGCACATGGAGGTGCACAGGGCTTGGCTCCTCTCATGCTGTTGCCAGTACCTTATTTTCATCTGCGCACTTCACCTCCCAGTCTGAATGTGTGTACTGAAAGATTTCCAGCACCTTCTGTTCTCAGGGTATTGCATATGTACATGTTGAATGGAAGGTGGGCCTGAATACAAATTATGCACTGGGTTCAATAAAATCATGTTGCCAGTCCTGATCTCTGCCATCATGGTGAACAGATACTACACAAGTACAGTAATGAGTGTTTTAGGAAACCAAGTTTTGTTGGCCCTTGTTAAAACCAATGCAAATGTGTTCTTGAATATTTGTCAATTAAGAAAGAGGTGAGATGAAGGGGGCCTGAATACAAATTATGCACTGGGTTCAATAAAATCATGTTGCCAGTCCTGATCTCTGCCATCATGGTGAACAGATACTACACAAGTACAGTAATTAGTGTTTTAGGAAACCAAGTTTTGTTGGCCCTTTTTAAAACCAACGCAAATGTGTTCTTGAATATTTGTCAATGAAGAAAGAGGTGACATGAAGGCTGCATTCAGACTGGCAGTTTGGCCCAACAGTCAAACGTTTCAGGAGCGTTTCACTCGCGTATTAAAGGGGTGGGTTCACACAGGCACAGCTGTCTGGCGTCCCCCAGCCGTACTCAAGCCGTTTTGTACCGCCTCCCTCCTGAGTTTTAAAAGTACCTGGTGGAAGTGGTAGCAAACCATGTGGAAAACAGGTTGATTCCGGTTCCCTGATGTGTGAATGCAAGCGCTGTAAGGCGGAAACAACCCGCAGTCGTTGATAATAGGCGCTGGCTGTTTCCGCGGCAGGCGCCCCTGCGCCCATGCGCATAGGCACATGCAGCAGAGCGCAGAAACAACCGCTAACAGCCCACCAGGGGCAGGCCGACAGTGCGAACGCTCCATTGCACTTCCTCCATGGTATCCTCCCACTTCATTTGCTGCAGTGTGAACAGGAATACCGCTGCAAACTGCCAGTCTGAATGCGGCCAAAAATAGTCTTTCCTGTTGACTTCATCATCATGTTATATTTGCAGAGCCAATTGTACAACCCCAGTGTGTCTGTAAAGACAGTCTGGGAAGCAACTTCGTGGTCAGCCAGAGTGAATGTCAAGTTTTTACAATCCTGCTATAGATAATTGGGATGTTTCTTATGTGTGTCCTCTGAAGCATCAAGTCCTAGTCCCTATTCAAAAGAGGAGGCCTGTGGTTTTTGACCAAGCATGGCAGTTCCAATACTTTTAAGTGGCTATCATTTTAATTTTAACAGGATCTAATGAAATGCTGTCATCTCTCTGATGACAACCTGCCATTTTGAAGCACTTAATTTTTGTCAGAGTCTGCTAATAAAAAGGGGTGTTCAACTAAAACTATCACAGAGGGCAACAATGTAACATGCTGAAACGAAAACAAGAGCCGTTTATTCCTTGGAGCATACTGGACCATCTTTACATACACTCTGTCACTTGATTATTTGAGTATTTTTTGATCTGTATAAAGACGACTATAAAATTTAGTAGTTATCAAAACAGACAAGTTTACCCTGCATTTGAAAATTTAATAGCTTATTCCTCTTGGGGGGCAGGCAGCATACAATAGTATATCAGTGTACCATGTTTTACTTCAAATTTATTATTTTAATTTTTGTTCCATCTCACTAAATGAGCAAAACTAATTCCACTAATATGTAGGGTACACATGAATTCAGAGAACTACAAATTTCATTCACATGTCTTTGGTGGGAGAAAGAACAGAAATGGGCTAACAAGGTAGTCTCCAAGATGGACTCCGTTTAGAGCAGCTCAACACAATACAATTCCTGCAGGAAAGGCTGGTGTAACAGCAACCACATGGCTTTCCCAATCAACATAGAGTCCGTATTATCGTGATTCAGCTCCGACTTGTTCACCCTTAGCCATTTATCCACAGCTATAAGGCACCAGTTCTGGACCTCTAAAACATTGCCAGGTGATTTGGATAAAGAAATATAGAACCAGGTATCATCAGCATATTGATGACAGTTTACTCCAAAGCCAAGAATTAGTTTCCCTAAGGCCTTTACATAGATTGAATAGCACCGGGGGGGGGGAGGGAATGGAAGCCTACCTGGATGAGAACTGGTTTCCAACAGCGACCCTCTGGATCCTGCCCATAAGGAATTATGTAAACCAATTCAAAGCACTTCCCTTAATCCCCACTTCTGTCTCCAGACATCTCAACAAGAGGGCATGGTCCACAGTATCAAAGGTGACTAATAAATCCAATAGGAACAACAAAGAGGGCCAGGCTTTGTCTACATTCAGTCAGAGATCATCTATGCATCTATCATCTGACTACCACATTTTAACTCTGTCCTTATTCTAAGGAGTTCAGAGTGGTTCTCCTTTCCTCCACGTCACCCCTACAACAATACTGTGAAGTAGGTTATACTGAGTAATGGTGCAAGGGCCAAGGTCTGAAACACTTCATGGCTGAGTGGGATTGGACAGTTCTTCCTAATGTTTAGCCGAAAACTCTTCTGATTTCAACCCCTTGGTTCTGGTCCGACCTTCTGGGGCAACAGAAAACAACTCTGTACCATCTTCTAGATGACAGCCCTTCAAATACTTGAAGATGGTTATCATATCACCTCTCAGTTGTCTCCTCTCCAGGCTAAGTATACCCAGCTCCTTCAACTTTTCCTCATAGGACTTGGTCTCCAGACCCTTCACCATCTTCATTGCTCTCCTTTGGACCCGTTCCAGCTTGTCTATATCCTTCTTAAATTGTGGTGCCCCAAACGGAACACAATACTCTAGGTGAGGTCTAACCAGAGCAGAGTAAAGTGGTACCATCACTTCGCGTGACCTGGACACTATACTTCTGTTGATACAGCCTAAAATCGCATTTGCCTTTTTAGCAAATGCATCACATAAGACCCCTAGATCCTTTTTGCACATACTACTGCCAAAACAAGTCTCCCCCAACCTAGAAGAAGAAGAAGAAGAAGAGAAGAGAGAAGAGAAGAAAAGAGATTGGATTTATACCCCGCCCTTCACTACACAAAGGTGTCTCAGAGTGGCTTACAAACTCCTTTCCCTTACCCTCCCCCTCCCCACAACAGACACCCTGTGAGGTAGGTGGGGCTGAGAGAGCTCTGACAGAAACTGCTCTTTTTCAAGAACAGCTCTTATCAGAGCTACAGCTTGCCCCAGGTCATCCAGCCAGGTGCAAGTGAAGGAGTGGGGAATCAAACCCGGTTCTCCCAGATTAGAGTCCACACACTTAACCACTACACCAAACTGGCTCTCTGAAGCCCGGCTTCTCCCCACACACACACTGTGCAGCTCCCAGTGGTCAGACCCACTGAGGTTTCTCCCCCATCCCCATCAAAGACGACACTGGCAAGCCCTGTGCAGCTACCAGCCACCAGGCCTGCCAAGGCTTCCTCCCCAGTCAATGGTTACAAGCCCTGCACTGCTCCAGGCCACTGAGCCTGCTAAGGCTTTTCCCACCATCAATGGTGGTGAGCCCCATGTAGCTCCCAGTCACCAGTCTCACAAGGCATCTCCCCTTCCAACTGGCAATGGCGCCAAGACCTGCCTGGTTCCCAGCCATTTATGTTGAGGTTTCTCGCCTCCAATAATGATGCCAGCAAGCCCTGCATGGCTCCTAGCCCCTAAAGGCTTCTCTCCCCTCATCCGTGATGACAGCAGCAAGACAACACTTTTATTTGGGAGGGGGAATTAACCCCCCATGCATTTTTAAAACCATTTCAGATTTTTCTGCAGACCTAGGGAATCTTCCAGGTTTGCAGAAAAATCTTTTTCGTGTTGGTGTGGCCCCCATCCACAGATTTAGGTATCCACAGATGGGGCCCATATGTCACTATTAGATATATAGATAATGCAGATATTTGCCCTTCCAGGACAAAGCCATAACAGACTTTCCTTCAGCCCTACAGCATACATGAAAAGAAGCTAAATAAACCTCTGGCCTGAAAAGGAAGTTCCAGAATATTATCTCTTGGCCCAAAGAACAATGGGACAATATTTTTCACTTCAAAAATATTTGAAATGAAATCTTTCATTTCACTTTCAAAAACATGTTTTCTTGAAGCTGTGTGGAAAACAGAGAGAGGGAGAGTTCTGTGTCTTGAGTGTCAAAATGTCTAAAGTAACCAAGTTCTTCTGTCAAAATGCTCAAGAAGTGTCATCTCTTCTCATTACCTTCCTTTACCCTTTCCATCAGCATTACCTTTACATTCGTGTTGGACTTTGATTTTTTTTTAATGTCATGACATCCAAATCCAAGGGGGATGGGGAGACAGAAAGGACTCTTTTGCTGTGCTTTGCCAGTATAATGGAGAGATAAGACTTAAAATATTGTGTGTCACTTTTATCCCCTGTAGTGAACTGTTTAAACACCACTTCAGCAATATTAACAGTATCTCCAAAAGCTCTCTATGGCTCTCCCTTCTCAATCAAGCATGCATCTGTATAAACCATGCCATCTTCTGGTGCTTCCTGGCAGTGAAAAAAGGAACATAAATGCCAGAGCTAAAACTGTTGTCCAGTGTGCATTGTTAATCATTCCTGAATAAAACTTAACTCATGTGTGGGAAACCTGGGTCTTTTCCAAAAAAAAATTCACTACAGTTATAAAGTCACATGGCAGTCAGAGACAAGGAGATTGTCACTGACTCTGATGCAAATCAAAACATACTTTCAAAACCACTGACAGAAAAACAAATGTCTACTCCATCATTAAAAACTGAGGTTCAGATATGAGCACATATGTGTGCTGTGCTTAATTTCTTGTCCAAAGGCATCACAGATTTTTAACTGCAGCAAATTATTTCCATGTATGTAGTGTAGCCAGGGGATCCTACGATTGTCTGGCAGCCAGAAGTTCTAGCTCTTTAGCATTATCCAGGGCACACCATGAGGAGGTGATTAAGTGGACTGAAAATTTAGATACTAGTATTTAAGGGAATTGCTCAATCGGTCTGCATATCCATTGTATCAACTTGGTTATGTATTTTATATTATTATATGCGTCCTGTGTTTAACTCTGCCATACAATAAATAAATAATACTGCAGCAAATATTAACGGGTTGCTCTGTTGAAAGAGAAGGTAAGAGAACCACAGCAGCAAAATGTCCAGCTTCAGAGAAGATGAGGACATGATAGGGATACACTGCAGTAAAGATAACAGCAGGAGGAGCTGATCAGGGATAAAGAAGAGGTTTGTACGGGAGAAGAAACTGCATGGAAGAGGGCAACTGCCACGAACAGGAGAATCAGAAGACATTCCTGAACCACTTGAACTAAGAAATCTATTTTCAGGAGCTTTTCAATGAGAATGTCTTAGGGTATCATGATGGAGGACAGCTAGAGATGCTACACCACACAGGAAAGAAAACTTTCAGTCTCTCAAGGAAAGCGCTGATTCAGGAAACAACACCAAAAAGAGTGGCTGGTGACTCCCCATTGAGAAGTATGGAGGGAGATGTGTGCAGTACAGACCTGTTAGCCTTATATTGCGCTTCTTTAGGAAAGAGGGAGCCCAGTATGTCCCGGCCGCTCTTAAACTATTCTTGAGCAAAGCTCTCCCACAAATGATATATGGAACACAA